TTAGCAACCAAAAATTTAGTCAGCAAATGGAACCTTTTCCCCGACTAAAACAATTTTTGAGTCGCTAATTGCTTCTCCCGACCCTGTATTGGCGACCAAAAAAATTATTCACAAAAGACTTTTGCCGACTAAAAACAGACTTTTACTGACCAAATTTTTAGTCGACAAAAGTGTAATGTCCTGTAGTGAGACCTACCTGTGGTTCCTAAAAACTAAAGGGCATAAAAAGGGAGGAAAAGAAGTCAAAATTGAATTTCCATATGAACACCGTGTTGGAAATTAATGTTGAAGGAGACAACTAAAGACATACAATGCCGGTCTCTTCCATCCATCCAAATAGAGATGAGTAAAGACACACAAAGCTGGTCTCCATACTCCATCCAAATAGAGATGTGTCTGGCCTGGTTGATGAGTAGACAAAGCATCCAATTGCTTCCACACAATAGTCTTATCATTTTGCATGGTGGCAAGATCAAGTGTTACGGGGTCTTCATTAACCACTCAATAACGCTACTTGCACACACACACACACACACAAATTATTCACGGAAAAGTGCAAGAGACGTGCAAAAAAATTTGCTCTTTAACATTCCACATCATGTCAATTTAATCAGAGACGTGCAAAAAAATTTGCTCTTTAACATTCCACATCATGTCAATTTAATCAATTGATAACCTTCTTAAGAAATTGGACAAAATGATCCATTCAAAAGAGAACAAACAATTTCAAATTAGATGGTAACACCTCAATCACTTTGGAAAGAGTCTTCTTGGTTCTTGACACTAACTGTATGGACTATTTCACTATTGATTTCAGTCCAATTTGTAACTAAATAGACATAACGTAAAAAAATTTAAAGTAAAATTGATGCAATTATAACTATAAGGATCAAATTAATATAAAACGCAAACCACAAGGATTACAGTGTAATTTGTCCCCCCTTTTCGGCACTTTTGTGTGCACCTAGCATTAAGGTTAATCGCTAGAACTTGTTGGGATGTCAATTTGTGAAATCTCCCTCATTAATTCTTGGTGCTCTTTTTCCTTGAGGATGCAATACAAACACATAACATAAAAACGACTTGACTTTACGGAGAACCCAGTATTATCTTTTTAGGTAAATTAGGCCTGTAGTCCCTGAACTTTGGTTCTTGTGTCATTTTGGTTCATGTAATTTCAATTGGCATGATTTTGATCTTAAATTTATGACTTTGTCTTAATTTAATCCAATTGATTAGAATTATTAGCATTTTTTTTTAAGGAAAATGTGCACATAAGCGAAATGCGTCATGTTTTTAGGAGCAAAATTATAAACTTGCTCAACTCAGTGAGTTAACCTCAACTAACTAAGTAATTATTTTTTGTCAAAATCCTAATGATGTGATCAATTAGACCAAATTGACACAAAATCTAAAAGTAGGGATAAAATTGAACCAATTGAAAATGTAAAGAATAAAATGGCACAAAAGTGGCAATTCTATCTTTTTCTTAGCTAAATGAAAAAAGAGAGAGCATTACTTCAAGTAGACAAAACATCAAACATCTTGCGAGCATCTTCCAAAATGTAGGCGCTTTTTCCATAAAAGAGAATCTTATTAAAGAAAAGCAAAGACTAAACAATAACAACAACTATGAGTGAGATGAATTTGGACTTGCATACCTCCTCTCTCCCAAGTTTGTTGTTCCGTTGAATTTGTTGATAGCAACTTTCAGTTTGTTGAATTCAAACTATAGTACTCTGATGACTCTGGTTGGATGATCACACATTTTATTATTCCTTTTCTTCGCTTTATTGATGTTCCGATATTGAACCAAATAAAGGAAAATCAATTCAGTTATAGGGGATTGGAGGACTCACCAGAAGAATTGTGGGAAGCTCTGATCTGTGGCTCTGATTCCAAGCACAAAAGCTTCTGAATGAAGAACAATAACATGGAAATGTATACCCAGGATCTGTATTGTATAAAAGCAGGGGAAGTGCTATGATCCACCCCGCATGCAAAACTACCACAAAATTAGGATTGTATAAGTTAAGCATAAATTTGTAAAAATTTTAAGACTAATGTAAATTTATATTCAACTTTTATATATATATTTTGAGATCATTTATATAAATTTGTAAAATTTGTGATTTGCATAACGTGAGCCTTCTACACCCAAAAATTTTCCAAAACGAAAAATTGCTAGAGACCCATACCAATTACACTTGTGTTTAGTAGAAATTAGGCAAATTACACTGACGCCCTTGAAGTTTCTATTTAATATAGATCTCTTCTCATATTTGAAAAATTATACTTACTCTCTTATCAAATTAAAATAATATATTTGTCTTTTAATCTTTATATATATAAAATAATAAAATAATACATATATTTTATTCATATCATTTTAAAGGAAATAATAATCATCTTCTTTGATTTAACTTACACAAAAAAATTAAGTTTTTTTTTAACTGATTTTTTTTAATATTTTAAGCATTTTTTTTTGTGTAGATACATCTAATCTAGATATACTTAAGAAGTATAATATTTTGTGATTTTTTTTTGAATTCACTAAATGCAAAAAATACAAAAATGCAATACATTATCTTATTTTGTTGTATTTAATATATTTTTTGTACAAATTTTATACTTTTTAAATATATCTAGATTAAATTGATCTAATCTACATATAATGGTAGAATTAAAAATGAAAAACTATATTCATATATAAAAAATTATACAAAAAAATATCATAAATATTGTGATAGTGATATTGTCGTAAATATAAATTATTTTTATGGGTGTTATGTTTTAAAGTGAAAAGCCGCCATTAGGCTATATTATTGTGTTTGAAAATTCTATATAAGATTTATATTTGTATATCATCACTCAATAAGAAGATGTTCAGGTAAAATTTAATGATGGAAAGTTGTATAATATAATCATGATGATAGAAAAAAGAATAAATAGTAGGAAAAATGGCAAAATGGTCATTTAGAAAATTTTAAGATATGACATCAACAATCCATGGGCAATTTATAATGAGATTACAAATTTCAGGAAGGGAAATGTAATTGGTTAAATATAGAGGAAAGATTTGTATTAAATAGAAACCTTAGGGGGTGTTAGTGTAATTTACTCGTAGAAATTTTGATAAAATTTTTTGTATCTGTTGCTTAAATAGAAATAATTGAAAATTGCACTTCAATTCAGTGCATATTTTTTAAAACAAAATTACAAATGATAAATTTTATCAATTTTAATAATTAAAATTATAAATTTTTCATGAATCTGTAAATATTTTGTGAAAAGATTACTTATTTGCAATTTTCCTAAGAAATAATGCTAAAGCAATAATGAGGCCATGTTTCGTAATAGGTTAATTAAGGCCTCGTTTTTTAATAGGTGAAAATAGTTAAAAAGTTAAAAAAATTATTATAAATTAAGTTATCACATAACTTTATCTATTTTTCTGTATCTATTTGTAAAATGTCAAAAAACTAACTAAAATAACTAATTTCTAAAGAAGCCCTTAATAATTTATTTATTTATTTTTTTATAAAAACAGTCAAAAGCTAAAAGAATATATTAAAAAGTCAATTTTTTTAAAAAAAAAATTCTCTCTATTTTTTGTATTTTTCTCCCCCTAAAAAGTCAAAGAAATATTCTCAAACACTTCTTCAATTCATTTTTCAGTCAAAAAAAAATTACTAAAAAAAGTCACTTTCTAAATGAATGCCAAATAAACGCAAACTTACATTACCATTGTGGTTTGGCCAATGTACATATTATTTGAAAGGGAGCAACTCCTCTTCAAGTCTAATGTTGTTCATTGTGGTTATATCGGGTTCGGTTTGACCATTTTAACCGTTTATTTTCTTGAACTCGTTGAATATATTATTCATACAAAAAATTAAGTTTATTGGATATTCGTAACCACTTGATCGGATAACATTTGTCTATAAAAAAATAGAAGCATTATATGATTTTTAAAACAATTACTCAATTCTTTTTCAAGACAAATGTAATCCGATCAGTTGGTTATCAATATCTAATCAACCCAATTTGTTGTGTAAAGAATGTTATCGATGGATCCTACAAGATGAACAATTCGGATTGTCAAGACAAACCCTCTATGAGCCCATAGTAGGTTGAACTATTGGATTGGAGAAAAGTTGGTCCCTATTTGAAATAGTCACACAATATCTTTTTCATTTGTGAATTAAAGTGCACAATCAGATATTTTGTCCCCTTTAACATGTGTCAAACACATGCTAGGTAATGCTCATTTCCAAATGTTATAGAATAAATCGCATATGAATTAAAGCACAAGAGGTTAAAAGAAAAAATTTGCCTCTAAAAAACAGACATAAATGTTCGTAATTTACATAATAAAGTTAATTTTATACAATATTTTAATCTTTTTACTTATATCGCTAACAAGTTTGATAGTGCATTTTAATTCATAAATCACAATAGAATTATGAAACATATGGTCAAACTAGAAGGAAATATTTTTCCATATAACTATGTGCGACTTATTTTTATGCCATCTATATATATTTGTGAGACAGAGCAAATACTAGCCTTCTAATAGAATATTTGAATTCAACTTGTGGCAAAAAATTGTGCATAAAGAGTTACAGGTAAAACTATTTAGATTTTGAAAAGTTTAAAGAAAAACTATATAGAGTTTCAGTGATTGAATATTAATTTCTTTTATAGATATAAAATTGTATTTGAGTAATCAGTTTTTCCAAAATTTTGGAGGATTGTGGTTCCCTCCTTTCCTATCTTTGCCACTGTCTACCCTTTTACTAGTGAACAATATTATTGAAATGTCTATTATTATGTGTGAGTATTAGATTTTTCTACATATGAGGTCTCTCCTTTTTCTAGCTTTAAATTTCTCTAATCTACCTTAAATGATTAATGAATTATCGTTGGACAAAGGTAGGAAGCGTTACATGCACTCAAGAATTAATTTGGACGAATTTTTAGATGCTATTGTGAGCACGGGCGCTCAAGCGCGCGCACGCACACACAAAAAAAAAAAAAAAACCCTTAAAATATGAGATATATAAAACAAAGATTCATCAAATTTGGTCATTAGAAATACCAAAAAAACATTCCTCTTGTTTGGAGGGAGGGTAAAATCAGATTATCTGCCAAGAATGACACTAATTGTAAGATCATTTGGGGAAGCTATTTCTTGGTTGTCCTTCCACATATCTATGTCACCAGAGCTCCTCATTGAAGTGAAGGTGGGTTGTCTAGGCATTGGCAATGTTGCATTTTCACTCTCCAACGTCAACACCAGAGATGACATGGTTGGCCTATGAATTGCCGAGTCTTGCACACATAACATTGCTACATGTATGCACCTCAACACTTCATTTTGGCAACATGAACTTTCAATAGATGGGTCAATCAGCTCCATTGCTCTATCACCTTCCCATAGATCCCATGCCTGAAAATAATTTCAAAAAATTCTCATCACAACCACAAATTAATGTTTGGTTAATTAAACTTTCTTATATGTCATGAGAAGTTGAAAACAAATAATATATTCTTCAGACTTACATATCCAATAATGTTTGGGTATTCGGATGAGCGAAAACTATTGTTTCGTCTGCCACTTACAATCTCTAGGAGCAATACTCCAAAACTATAGACATCAGATTTCACAGAAAATAGACCATCCATTGCATATTCGGGAGCCATATAACCACTGTATTTAGCAAAGAAGTAGTAAAGGTCAAATTAAAAAGTTGTTAATTAACACATTTCATATGTACTTGTTAACTTACTATGTGCCAACAACTCGGCTTGTACTAGCTTCACTTTCATTTCTTCCAAAAATTTTGGCCATGCCAAAATCAGAAATTTTTGGGATCATCTCTTCATCTAACAAAATGTTGCTAGCTTTTAAATCTCTGTGAATTATCCTAAGTCTTGAATCTCGGTGAAGGTAAAGGAGCCCACGTGCAATCCCTTCAACAATTGTAAAGCGTTTTCTCCAATCTAACAGTGCTCGCTTAATCGGATCTGCTATTATGTTCATCACCCAAAAAAAATTTAAAATTTAAAATTTAAAATTACGACGACGAGAAAAAGAAAATTTAGTAGATGTCAAATGAAGTTCAGGTAATAACAACCACAAAGATTCATCTCATAGAGCTTAAATATATTTTTTGCAAACGATCATTAACAAGGAAAAGTAGTGGTTAGAGTCAAAATAACTAACCGAAAATAAATGAATCCAAGCTTTTGTTTGGCATGTATTCGTAGATCAGCATCCTTTCTTCACCTTCTATGCAGCAGCCCAAAAGTCGAACAAGATTTCTGTGCTGCAATTTTGCAATTAGTATAATCTCATTTTTGAACTCCTCCAAACCTTGTCCCGACTTTCTTGAAAGCCTCTTCACAGCTATTTCTTCTCCCTCATATAAGTTTCCCTGTCAACCAAAATAAGAATTGCTTCATCTCAGTACATTGCAAAAACTTTCATCAACTCTTGTCAAAAACATTAAAAAAATAATATATAAATAAATAAAAACACACCTTGTAAACGGGGCCAAACCCCCCTTTCCCAAGCTTGTTTTCTTCAGAAAAGTTGTCTGTAGCGGCTGCTACATCGCTAAAGCTGAACAATGATAATTCTGGTCCAGTACGTTGCTGCCCTTCGATGCCAAGCTCATCTGGCCCTGAATTATCCCTTGAAAAATCTCTACTTCTTCTCGCATCAATTGTTGGTAATTGATTTTTCTTCCACCATAAATTTGAGAGTGCTTCAACCATATATTAAAAATAAAAGCAAGCATTGTAGACAACATTACAGAAAAAAGAAGGAAAAAAAACAGTACAATTTTCTTAAATTTAGTTTGAAATTATACCTTTCAGTTTTGCTCTGAACCTCCAAAGTAGCCAAATAGATATACTGATGAAGAATGTTCCCATTAGCACGTGTACTATTATCACAAGCTTGGAAAATTTTCTTTTGCTAACTATGTTTGGAGTAATTTTCAATTGTTAGAAAAATTCAAAACATGGTAGCATTCAATTGAAATGACATTAACAGCAATCAAAAATTAAAATTTTCACTTACTCAAATCAGAACTAGCAAGGCGAACGTACAGATCGCTCCCACCTTCTTCAAAATGCTGAATATCTACCAAATCCCCTCTCCATATCATACAGCTGATTCCAATTGCAAATGTGTAGGCGTGACATGAACAATTCTTCGAGCATTTCTCTCCACAATCCCCAATGTCCTGTGCCACCATCAAGTCTGCATAGTCCGGTAACTTCACGCCCTCAATCTTCACAAACCCGTCTTCTTCTCCATTTGTCCCACACTGTAACTGTGTCTTTCTAACACACCCACCAGACCAATTTCCACTATCCCATTGATCCACATTTTTGGGTACAAACCCTTTCATACAACTACAAATTGTAGAGTCCATCACATTACATTTCCCAAAATTGCCACATTTGTTATACACTTCACATTCATTAGCAGGTTGCAATTGCATAATCCTCCATTCTTTTTTACCATCATCCCACCAAAGTTGTGCTTCATTTCCATCCCAACCAATCCGAAACCTCAACGGATCAGAACTGTTTGAAGAGGTATATGTAAAATACAAGCTACCATTTCCCTCATTGAAAAGCTTAAAACCATACAAATAGATAGCCCTCATGGTTGGAACACCGGTAAATATTAGTCCATTCCAATGCCCACTTCTCCAATGTCGATTTAGCCCATCCCATATCACTATCTGTGGTGATCCCTGAGGATCAACGCCCATTGAGTATCGTCCAAGCGAAGGATCGTTATCACTTGTCCAACTAGTGAAAACACGAGTCTCTCCGGCCCTGACATTCATGTAGACCGTCATGCCCGGTAGGAATGTATCGGTGGGCTCATTGAAGCTCTGCCACAAGGCCTTGTTTAGATCATCAACACTGTCACTGCTTGACAGAACAAGATTACCAGTATCCATCAGAATTGCAGTAACATCATTTGATATCGCCGAGGCATTACTAGACCAAACTGAATTCCCATTTCCATCTAAAACCAACAGATTACTTTTGTTTCCAATTTTTAAAGATCCATTTTTTCCTGAAATGGGATTGTTTCTGTTTGCAACCCATACGATAGATTGTATAGGAATTTTGTAGTACCAAATTCCAACATACCGGTATGTTGAATTTCCAGGAGAAAAAAAGCCAAGAACAAAATTTTGGCTAGCAGAGAGAATGGTTTCACCATCTCTAATGAGTTGGCCCTGAGTGATGATGTTGTTTGCAGCATGGCAGAGTAGAGAACAAAGATAGAAGAGAGTCCAACAAAAAACACTTGCTGTTGTTGAAGTTCCCATTTTTGAATCAATTGGATGGGCAAAAATTGATGTGTAAAATAGAATTGAGTTTAAAGAAATCAGGCAACATATGTTTCTGTGAATTCAAGAAACAAACTTCTCAGGCCAACCATTGTTGGCTTGTGTGGATTTAATGTAAAAGTTGAGAAGATTGACCTGAATAATCTGTCTTGAAGATTACTAGTTGACTTCCCCACTGTGTCCTTGTTGTCTTCTTTGAAAGCCACCAAGAGCACTTCTTATTCTTATTTTTTAATTTTTTTAGTGAAATGTTGGGTACCAAAATATATTCTGAAAAAATAATCAAATTTGAATTGTGTGAATCAGATTCATCTTAATGTGATCACACTATACCAAGTTTTATTTACATCATATAATGAATTTTGGAATAAATATTAAATATAACGGTGATATCACGTGACGATATCATCAATCAATGAAGAATCTCATATTGCATGAGTAAGAGCAAAAAAATGAACATCTAATCTAAATTGTGATTTGCCAATTTTTGTTAAACACAAAATAATAATAATAATAGTAATAATAATAATAATAATAATAAAAAATTTGGTGTTTTAGCCATTTAACTCAATGTAGGTATATAGAAAATGTTTAAAATGCTTTTTTCATTGGTTTTACTCAAAGAAAATAGGCAAATGTTTAGATTAAAATAAATCAAAATATTAGAGTTTAAATTAACAAAATTAAAAATTCAGAACTTTGTTATAAGCATCAAATTTTGAGTTTTTTTTTTTCTTTTATTATATAATTTCCCCTTTATTTATTTATTCTTTTGATGGGACCACAAGAGCATTTGGAAAGGAAATGGTGATTTTAGTAGGCTTATCTTAGGAAAATTGGCTCCCATATGCCATCAGCATAGTCTGGAAACATTTACTTTTCAAATTTAGGTAAAAAATCACTTACTAAGTTTGCAAGAAAAACAAATGAAAATAAATGCAATACATCCCAATACATGCAAATCTGTTCAGATTTGGAGATAGATCTGTAGATTACAGTTCTCATTTCAGTTGACCACTCATTTATGATATTATGATGCAATTACTAACAAATGCTGTGTGGATCATTTTAATTTTTTTTCTTAAAACAAAGTTGGTAACTAATGAAATTTCAAATTTATTTGAAATTTTTTGAGAATCATGAAAAGAAATATAGGGTGTATTTGGTTTGTATTTTCAAACATGTTTTTGGAAGAAATTTTTCAAAGACATGTTTGGTTACAAATTTTTTCAAAAAAATTTCAAAATTACTTCTCTCTCTATTACGCATCAATCAATCATTTTTTCTCTCTCTTCTCTTCTTCTCAATTACTTTTCCTCTCATACACATCTACTCAATTACAACAAAATATCAAATTATCACAAACTCTCAAACTCCAAAACTATTTTCAAAATATATAACCAAACAAACAAAAAAAAATTCTAAACTCTCTCGTCAAATTTTTTATTTTTAAAATTTATCTCAAAACACAAACTGAAGACACCCATAATTTTTTTCCGCCTAGATTTGTTTCAACCGGAAGTGAATGTGAAAAGAAAATATAACGCAAGACAAGGAGGAAATTGCAATTTGTTTTTGTTTAAAATGTGAATTTTTGCAAAGTAAAATTTATTGTGGTCCAACTTTGACTCTCTAATTTGTGTCACGCCATGAAAGAAAATTATTACATACTCTTGGAATATTATGTAACATTGTTTAAGTAGTGCTCTTCTTAACTAATAAAACATAGCAAAACATTCTAAGTTATCATTTGTCTCCTAGTTACTTAGTGCCTGTTTGGTAGAAATTATTTACAGCTTATTTCAGCTTTCAGCTTAATTTAAACTATTTTGATGTGTTTGGTTTATCTTATAGCTTATAACTTATAGCTTTGTGGAAGTCAGAAATCAGCTTATTCTTTGAGTGGGGCAGGAGATACTTTAAGAATAAGTTGGAAATCAGCTTAAGCTGAAAGTTATAAGCTATAAGCTGTTTAGGCATAAGTTATAAGCACTTTCCCACAACTCTACCAAACAGGACTTTAATAAAGGCGTGTCAATATAAACTACTCGTAAAATATCTTTCCTTTTGGATTTCCCCAACCAACCAATCAACTAAAGAAGTATTTTCCTTCCAATCTTCATTTCCCTAATCCTTTTTCCCCTTTATGAGGATGTAAAAGATTGAACCAAGGAAAAAAATTGTTAAATGGACATTTAAGCTCCATGTTCTTGAAAATGCAAATCATCAATAACAAATATCAAATATATAAAATAAGCGAATATGTAAAAATAAAATTCTGAAAATCCAAAAGAACATTTTTTTTCCCCTTTGTGAGGTCAAACATGTTTGGTTTACAAATTATTGTCAATAATCTCTTTGAAACGGAACTAAATTTATATTTATGCCTTGACTATTGGTGATCATAGATGGGCTACCAACTCAAGCTAAATGTGCTGCACCATTTTCATGTTTGTCATCATTACACCAAACATCTAGAGCATCCACACTGCAAACATATTAAATTATAATTCAGTCTATTTGACAAAAAAAAAAAAAAATTTAAAAGATCGTCACTTTTTAAAAAAAAAAAAAAAAAAAAAAATTTAAAAGATCGTCACTTTTTAGAACATATTAAATTATAATTCAGTCTATTTGTCACTTTTTAAAAGATTGTCAATTTTAAAAATTTAAAAAAAATTGCACCCATAAAAGATTGTCACTTTTTAGTATTTTTTTTTTTCTCCCATCTGTCACGTTATATTTGATTGGAAGATTTGGAAAGAGATTTAAAAAGAGAAAGGGAAAATGTAGGTAAAATATGAATAAAATATACTGCATTTCACTTAATTTCATATACTTTTCCTTTTTTTTTCTTTTTAAATCTCTGCTCAAATCTCTCAACCAAATATAATGTCACTGAATTGTAATTTTTCTTAGAAACTATTCCCATGGAGCCCGGAAAGGTTTTTTTACTTGGTAAAATGGTAACAACATTTTTAATTGTGGCGACCCACGGGCCGTGGGTTAAAACAAGAGAGGAGGAATGGGTCTCACATGTATTTTTTTAGATACACTTTTGTATATATATAGGTCATGCTAGGTATGCACCATATATAAATTATGACATTTGTGGTACTGATTATTACAAATTTTATAACTAAATCATTTTGTCATAAATATACTGCATTTCACTTAATTTCATATACTTTTCCTTTTTTTTCCTTTTTAAATTTCTGCTCAAATCTCTCAACCAAATATAATGTCACTGAATTATAATTTTTCTTAGAAACTATTCCCATGGAGCCCGGAAAGGTTTTTTTACTTGGTAAAATGGTAACAACATTTTTAGGGGTTGTTTGGCATAGACTATATAATCCATCTTTTTATCTTTTTATCTTTTTTCTATCACATCACCTCTCTACTTTTCTGCACATCTTTTCGTAAAAAGACAAAAAGTACACTTTTTTAGAACACCCCAAACCAACCCTTAATTGTGGCGACCCACGGGCGTGGGTTAAAACAAGAGAGAAGGAATGGGTCTCACATGTATTTTTTTAGATACACTTTTGTATATATATAGGTCATGCTAGGTATGCACCATATATAAATTATGACATTTGTGGTACTGATTATTACAAATTTTATAACTAAATCATTTTGTCATAACTAAAAAAAAGAAAAAGAGTTCTACCAAATATCAAATAAGATATAACCAAAAAAAATTTAAATTATAACCAAAATAATATTATAACCAAAGATTATAAGGAGTCATAAGTTATATCACAATAAATCATAACTAACACCATAAGTTATAACAAAATCATAACTTACACTACGATAAGTCATAATAAAAAATCACAAATATCGAACATGTAATACACATTCCAAAAAGAATGTATGTATCATAGAATTTCCCATTAATAAAAAGTGTGATCCATCAAATAATGCGGTCAATGGCATATAGACACCAAATCAAATAGTACCTTAAAAAAATATTCAAATTTGGTTACCTTGCATGGAGAGATTATTTGATGGTGTATGAATATTACTCCACACCACTTATATTTGGCATTTGTCATGTTATTACATAATATTTTATCTGTCTTAAAATATTAATCTCTTATTTTATTTTAGGAAAATTTATCCATAAGTCCTAGTTTCTGAAAAGTTGAATCATTTAGTCCTAAAAGTTTTCTTATACTCCATTTAGTCCCATTTGCACATCAATCTAATGTTCGAAACATTAATCTGATGTTTGGAATCTAATGTTCGAAACATTAATCTGATGTTTGAAACATTGTAATGGGACCTTTCAGTCTATAAGAAAATTTTTAGGACTAAACAGTGTATAAGTTATTAATTAAATTTTTAAAGTAAAATATTATTTTAAGACGAAAAGAGTATAAAAAATAAAAGGTATTGAATCACATAATTTTAATAAATTGGTACCATGTTGCCCCGCCCAAGACCACCACGTGAATTTTCTTTCGACACGTCGTTTTTCTAGGACCTTTTTAGGTGTTTGGCGCCCCCTCGGGTAGGATTAGATAAAGACTCGGATTCTCTTCCGTCCATATAATGGGTTAAACTGTGTTGTTTGGATTCATGGGACAATCATGGATCTTGTAATCCGAATGGTTTAATATGTAAAATTTACAAAGTATTTTAATTTATAAAAATTTATATTGATCAGATATCAATAGTTATTTGATTAAATTATATTTTTATCAATAATTTATTTTAAAAATTATATTTACTGTTGATAGAAATATGATTGGATTAAGTGGTTATTGATATTCAATTAACGTGATTTTTTTATAAGTATGAAATACTCGGCAAATTCTATATATGGAACGGTTCAGATTATCGAAACAGGACCCGTAGTGGACTCCACAGACATTGGCGGAGGGAAAGAAGGACGATGGGGTCACGTGCCCCCTTCAGTTTTGAGAATTTTTTTTTTTTTTTTGGGTGTGTTGTGTGGGCGCGCGTTGTTGTCATATACAAAATGTATTTTTTTTTTCCTTAACATGCTTTTGGTTAAGGATTTATTATATTATGCACAATAAATAGTTATTTGATACTTTCAGACAGGGGCGGAGGCAGCATGTGACCAAGGGGGACATGTGCCCCTGGATTTTGGATTTTTTTTTTTTTGCAAATATAAAAAAAAAATTAAATAAAAAATTACAAAAATATTATTAG